GAACAAAGTTCAGTTTCTGTTCAGTCAGACTGAGGGAGGTTTTTGTACGATGAGTTTTCACTGTGTGAACATAGGACCACTGTGATAACTCTGACAGTAATAAACTCCTGCATCTTCAGCCTGGAATTCACTGATGGTCAGAGTGAAGTCTATTCCATTTCCTGCTCCACTTCCAGTGAATCTGGAGGAGATTCCTGAAAATCTATCAGATGTTCTTTCGATCAGAGCTTTAGTAGCTTCTCTTGTTTTTTGGTGGTACCAGGCAAGTAAGTACTTTGAGCCTGAGTAGTGATAAACCTGTTCATTAACCTTACAGTCAATAGTGACAGTCTGACCAAGCTGCACTGATTTGGCTGTTGGCTGAGTCACAACAATATTTTGTCCATCAGACCCTGAGGAGAAAAAAGAAACACTGGAAATTAGATGATCCCGCTAAACACCAAACAATTTTCATTAGACAGGAAAATTGTTTTCCTCCACAAAACAAGATTATTTTCCTCACCCTGAGTAAAGCAGATAAGAGTCCAGATGATGAAGCTGATTAAAGTCATATTTTCTGTGACTTGTGTTGTCATGAAGGACAGCTGTCAGTCCTGCAGTGTTCAACTCTAAGGGCTATATACTCTCCCAGATCACTGGAGCATGGAGCTGCTGATGCAAAGTGGCTGTATTGAAATGTTCTGACCTGCTGTAATTGGAAATAGAATCCGTGATATTTTTTTTGTCTTATCAGTTAGTAGGAATCAGTTGAAAACATTTTTGTGTCTTTTGCAAGCTTGAGATATTTTGTTTAAAGATTTTTTGGCTTTAAAAGCCTCTCTCCATGCACATATTAGCACAGATTAGCCAAAATAATGAAACCTTTCATCACTATTTACACACACACACACACACCCTTTTTTATAATTCAGTTATAAAATTTGCTGAAATTCACTCCTTTCTGCATTTTATGTCAGTAACCAAGCTTGTATTTACCAACCAGAGGTTTGGATTTAGTTTTATTTCTGTATGTACCATGTACATGCAATTAATAAATAAATGCTGTATTTTTTTTGTTTTGTTTTTTTATGAAACACATAAAACCATTTTAATGACTCTTCTTTTGAGAAAGAATTTTAATGAAAATAACTGAGGTGTTCTTTTTTTCAGATATCAGAACTATTTCAATAGCAGTTCAATCTGAAAAACTCGCACAGAGAGAAAAGATAATTAGAAGAATTTATTGATAGAAAGTATAGTCTTTGGCGCTCAGACC